TGAATTGTTATTTGGTACATTAACTGGGTTGTTAATTGGTTATTAACTAGGTTGTTAACTAGGTTGTTAAATAGGTTGTTAACTGGTTTGTTAAAAGGGTTGTTAACTAGATTGTTAACTAGGTTGTTAACTGGGTTATTAACTAGGTCATTAACTGGGTCATTAACTAATAGTTCAAAAGATATAAAAACTCTGCTTTTTTCCTTAAAGCAGAGCAAACTGTCTTTTTTCTACTTTTAATTCCTTGTTATTTATAGTTTATTTTCTTAAAAGTGTAACCATCATCTACCTTCTTTTTATTATATTTAATAAAGTTTTTATTGTGTTTTTATTGAGTATTTAAAGTAGAGCTATCATCTCTTCTTTCTTCTTTGAGTATTTATTTTTGGTATATTAAGTTAAGTTATCGCCTTTTTTGAGTATTTTATTGTGTTTTAGAATTAGAGCCATTGCCTTTTTTCTTTATTTTTGGTTTATTATTTAGCTTAAAGTTTCTTTTAGTTTTCTTTCTTATTTTATTCTTTTCTTATTTACAAACACATTTTATAATTCTTTTACATATTAAGTTAAATAGTATAGCTTTACTAAGACCCTGTATTGTTATATTATAGTATATTTAAGAAAACCTTATTTCAAGGGTGTGGTGACTTAGTGAAGTGGTTAGGTTGTTGCACCCCAAGCAGCATGTTGGCAGGTAGGAGTTCGAAATCTACCGATAGTAAAATTTTGAATATTCTGTTTGTATAATGGCTACTGTCTTTTAATGATTAGTTGAAACAGGATCTCTGTAACCTTGATAGCATCAACAAGATTGGGAGATCATGAGTATTTGTGCAATGCATGTTATATAAAAGTATGCAAGCTGACATTGGGCAATACAAACTCAAGATAAGTTCTTTGTGATTATATTAATCCAAGGAACCGAAAAGATGGATATTCATTTGACAAAACCCAAGTAGAGATATAACACAAACTTTTGATAGTGGCTACTAGAATAGACTTCACCCAAGGCTGGTTAACTAGATATAACAAAAGCACTTGGCAGGTTGCTCTACCAACCAGACTGCTGGTATAAGCATCGACTAAAAAAAAAGAATTGACAGCTACTACAGAACTAGTATCTCTTCTAGGCTATCTGAATTAGTAGTCTAAGAAGACTGGCTAGAGAGTACTAAAAGAGAAAATATCAAGTTGTCTTGAAAAAAGAGTATCAGAGTTTAGGTAAACTTTGTAAGAGCCAGGAGGTTGGGTAGTGTAACCTGCTTATAAAGGCTTAAAACCTATTTGACAAACTTATCTGTGAAAGGAATTGACAGTGTGGCCTGCCTATAAAGATATAAAACCTATCTAGTAATATCTATCTGAAAAAGACTAAGTTATATGTTAAATGTGAGTAATAGGATGGCTCTGGCAGGTGATGTACTTGAGGATGAATTAATTAACTATACCAGTAATCTTATAGATAAGTATGCAACAATCCTAGAACTTGGACTGACTGATATATCGCATGTTCTAAATGAGATTGGATAGATTATAGATATGACATTTAGTTTAAAATCTAGTAATAAGCAGACTATTTAAATTAGATACTCAAAAGGCACAGGTATGGCTAGAATATACTTTTATCAGAATATACTTGTCTGAAGCTTCTTTAAAAAGGGCACTACATGATTCTATAATCTAATAAAAGCAATGAGCCAAAGAGGCTAACCTTAATTATAAAAAAAAAAAAAATTTAAAAAAAAATAACTTTTTTTAACTCAGATACTGTAAAGAGGTCAGAAATTGCACTACTGGTCTAGATATATTGTTTGTTTAGATTACTATATTTAAGACATATAATCTATATATTTACAGCTTATATAGGATCTTTGCTAGGATTTTTTTTTTGAAAAATAGATTTATTATGTTTTTCTTAATAAAAATCTTGTATAATAATAGCTCATAGGGTCATTTTGCTAGCAAAGATTCTATATACATCCACATATTGTAACAGATATAGGTAAACAATGCTAACTGATTTAAAAAATAAACAATATGTTGATCTTTTGAAGAAGTAAGCTGAATCACTCACATTTTTATAAAATTTTCTCTGAAAAAAAACAGAGAGATAGTTGTATAGACAATTTTTAAACTTCAACTATCTTAACAAAAGTTTTTGATCACTACTTTATTTCTAGAATAATTTTTCTAGTTTGGATGTCAAATAACTTAAAAAGTCTATCAATAGAGCAGAAGAAAAACTTGACCCCCAAAAAACTGCTAAGTTATGCCCACTTCTTAGTATATCACATCTTCTAAACTTTATTAACTAGGAACTAGAAACCGGTTAAAGTCCGGAGCTCATTATTGTCATCTTAAACAAATGCATAAATGTGCATAATTTTTTTTACACAATATACAAATATAGACACACGGAGTTACAGATAGAAAATGCCGAAACTACTTTTTTGATCTTTTATTATAGATGCATCAAAATTGTAATTTCAGTCATCAAAGCGCATAGAAGTATGAGTCTTCTGCTTCGCTCCAGACAACAACAACCTATATAAAGGTAAGACTAGTTCTCAAAATACCCTTCTGGTTTTGATGCTAAATAACTTAAAGAGTTCATGAATACAGAAAAGTTTAATCCCAAAAAAATATGTCCACTTCTCAGTGTTTTACATCTTCGGACTTTGTCAACAACTATTTACTCTAAAGTAAAACTAAGATGTTTCTGTCTTGGATGTTCCTATATTGTTTTTCTGTAGTTCAGTTTTTTGTTATCATTGACCAGAGGATCATTGAAAAGAGTTGCTATAAATTTTTTGAAATTTTATTTATTATATATTTTTAATTATTTATTTATATAGCATTAAAACAAATCTTTAATAATCACTAATATAGCACACAGATTATAAGTATCAATATAAGTTATCTAAAATCAGGTTCCGGAACCAGGTTCTAGAACTAAGTTAGAAAATATTTAACAGGTTCTAGAAAAATTTGGTAATTGGTTCAAAAACCCGATTATAAAACCTGGCTAGAAGATATTTGTAACCATATAGGTTTTAAAACAAGGTCTAATACTAGGTTTTAGAACAAGATTCTAGGTTCAATTTAGGGTTTTAAAACCAAAATCTAATCTAAGCTAACTTTACCATCCCTAGTTAGACCCGACTTTGGTTTGAATCCAGGTGAATCAGACCTGGCTTAGGTTTTGAACTTAGGTTTGAACTTAGGTCAAATTTGAATCTAGATTAGATAGAGCTGGGTCAGGTGTATACCCGGGCACATTGACTTTATAAGTTTTTATCATAATTAAGATACAAACTGAACTTGTTTTGCATCTCTAGTTTGAACCCAGGTGATTATGAATCTGTCCTGGGCTGGAGCTAAACCCGACCCGTTAAGAGTCTTGTAGAACTGTTCTCACTGTAGATTTTGTACCAAATATTATAAGGGATTCGTTTTATGCAATTGGTTATTTCACAAAATAACTCAGATCTTTATGGGTTATTGGGCAGTTCCATAAACTTAATTGTATGTCAATAGTTAATTACATTTATTACGTACATTATAATATATATCAACTTCCGTATGATCGTTAATGAAATTGTAATTATGATGCAATTATATTATACTTATAAGTATCTTACGTTAAGCAAACTGAAACGCTCTTATATTTTCTCTAACTAAATTCAAGAATGACACTTCGCAAATCTGGTAAAGGTATTCCTTTAGAAGAAGAAGATGCATCGAGATTAAAATTCAACGAAGGTTGTTATTTTGACATTTTATATTATGTGTGATTTTTTTTGGATTTGATCGTCATATATATCAATTCAAAAAAAGGACTCGATTCAATTTCTGAGACGCAATTTGCTTTGAGCATTTCTGAAACAAATGCTCTACTTAAAAATGTTAGGAATAGATCAAACCCTCCAAAGTCAATGTTTGTGTTTTACCTCTCATTATCTAGTGCCATATTGATACATTATATTATTAGATATTTTACTTTTTTAACTCACAGCGTTTTTAGTAAAACTTTGGAGTATGTAGATCAATTCACCAAAATGCGAGACGAAGGACAATTAAATGATGCTCGAAGGTGCTTTTAATAAATTCATCTCTTTTGTGAAGATGAAACAAATGCTATGCTTAGATATATATTCAAAAAAAAGAATTATATAAAAGAAAATAGAAATATAAGAAAATATATAAAAAACATATATATAAAAAAAGAAAAAAGACAGAAAACAAATATAAGAGTTGCATCTTTTAAAGACAGTCACAATTGTAAGCTTATATTAGACTTAAAAAAATTAAATACTACTATTTAAACTAGTTTTTACTTTAATTTATATAATTAATATTGTTATCTTAGTAGATTTTATTAGTATATTTTAGAAGGTTTTATTAGTATATTTTATTAGTATAGTTTATATTTATTATATGTATATTTTTAGCTTTAGTTTAATAATAAAATTTTTAACAAATAGTATTAATTTTAGTATAATATTAAATATGTTAACTAGTATATTAACAGGTATATTAACTAGTACATCTGTACATTATTTGGTACATTAACTGGAACATTATCTGAATTGTTATTTGGTACATTAACTGGGTTGTTAATTGGTTATTAACTAGGTTGTTAACTAGGTTGTTAAATAGGTT